CTTGATATCATGAAAAGTAGACTTGTGAGGATGAATATACAACGTGAGGATAGATATAATGTTTTGGACAGTTACTAAATCTTCGGTTTACATTGCAAAGCATGGTACATAAAGTAACTACAGCAGAATGACTATACATTAGCAGCCATAAACGTCACAGCATTTGATCTATTGCCTGTAGTTAAAGTTTAAATGGCACCTTGAGGATTTTACTGATTTTCTTTGTGGCACGCAAATGACACCTACATGCCTTTCGACAGCTGCTGCATGTGGAGAGCCTGATGTGAGAGATAAGGTGGGAAGGATTGTGTGGTGTGATACAGCACCTTTCACCTCCCATCATGCACTGAGAAAACAGACTAATTTTGGGCCCAGAGAGAAAGCACGCTCTGCACGCTTATTGACAGAAACACAGGAAACAGAAAGAAAAGACTTTGGCAACATGGTTATTTGCAAACAGTAGCTGTCAAAAAGTCACGTGCAGAGATATGAATGCCGATTGTGTTATTCGGTGCAAGTATGAACGCTGTAAAAAATTATTTTCATTATTTGTTATCACAACATTTTTTCTTTTGTCAAATCAACTTAAATACTATATGTAGTCCATATAACATAATATTTTGAGTTTCTGATGATTAAATCGATCTCCTTCATTGTATTAACTCAATTTTTCCATTTCAATAAACTTAATTTTTTTTGGAAAATTAAACCAACAATATTTTATTACAGTTAAGTGGTAAGTGCATCTATATGAGTCAGGGATATTATTATTATTAAAAAAAAAAAAAAAAAAAAACATTAAAAAAATCGTTACTTTAAAGTAAAAATAAATATATTTATTTTTTAGTTACAGCCATCTCATTTTTGTTTGTAACTTGTACTAAAAATGTCCCTGTTAAAAGTAAATGATTAATAAGTTATTACAACATATGTTTTAACGTTTCTTTAACTCATGAAAATAAGTTTTACGTTTTATACAACTAATTTCAAGAATTAAGTCAGTTAAATGTAATTTAAGTTGAAATCACTTAAACATCCAAGTTGATTGTACTTAAAGCAACTTTTTTTTACAGCGTTGAAATAATAATAATAAAAAAACATATAGACATTAAAACTATATTTAAAAAAAAAAAAAAGTGACACAAACCCAATAAAAAGTTTCTGTCACCAACAAAACCAATGAATGTGTGTTTATGCAGATTGCCATGCGATACAGAAACTGAGCACTCGGTACGAGAAGAAACGAGTTGATATTTTTTTAATTCAAATTTTTTAATTCACCCCAGTCATGTGGTCAAGAGGTCAGCCGGCCACAATATGTCATGCACACACAACAAATAAGACAAACAAATAAATTTAAATGCCCATTGCACGTTTTCCCAATAAAGGCAAAACAATATGTTGTTCTGACAGTCCGGACTTTGAATCCGTATCATGACGGACTCCCTTCTTTAGTGAGAGAGGGTCACACAGATTATTTGATGTAGTGGCATCTTTAAAGATCCCCCAATAATGGATACTATTGCCGAAAGAGATCACTGCAGAGCAACGTGACGATTATTGTGAATAATCATATTTATTCGGCAGCGTGAATCACACTGCTGTGGGTGGACAGACTGATTTAACAATGCAATTTTCCTCTAGCATTAAGATAAATATATAGTAGTTGAGAGTAAACAAATGAAAAAGAGATATTATATATAGGGGAGACCATGGCTGGTTGCTACATCATCATATTAACTCCTGCCACCCCTATAATGATATCAAGCAGAAATTTGCGATTTATTTATTCAGCTGTTTTGATACACATTTGATTTATGTCAATGCCCACCCATAGCAGTAGATATGTTGCCAGTCATAAAGTTATTACATTTCATCCATTTCATACATACAAGCTTATCTGTCTGAGTAATTGTCATCAGGCTATTATATATAGTACGCAAGAACAGTTTATTAATGTAAAATACATATTATTCTGTCCTGACTCCAGAAACCATCATGTACATACATAGGTTAATGTCATGTGACAACCATAAAAAGTGGAAAATAATGCTTTTTGTTGTGCTAGTAAAACGGAAAGCGTATTTCAGACAGTGTTTACGTTAAAAAATATGTTTGTGACGCGGCGGCGGCATTTATGAGGATTAGTTGCTTTGGTTTTATTTGATGTAACTTGTTTTTTGACAAATTAATTTGTTTGCTGTATATCTGAATATGAATTTGAGTATGTGCCTTAATGAAATACAAACTCCACATTTTAAAGGTACCCCTTCAAGGCACATAATACAGTATGCTGAATGCTGTAAAAATGGGAATGTATCGGAGTTTAAAATATGCCTTTTTAATTTGTCAAGGATATAACTACTTACAATATATGCACTGTACAATATTATAAAATGGTAGCGATTTACATAAATTTACATGAGTGCTGCAACATATGCTGTGAAATCCAGAATGTCAGACGTCAAGCTGATTGGTATTAGAAGGGTTCGCCGTTCGAGCCTGGAAACGCTTCCCGCTGGCAGACTCGGAAATTGACTAAAAGAGTGCATGGGAGCAAACGGAGTCCCTCTGGAATTTCTCTCATTAATTAGTCTTGTCTGAAAACGAATTACTTTGGTGGGCACTTTGGGCTTTCCATACCTCAGTGATCCACATCAAGACAATTATTCAAGATTTATTTTCCCAAGAAAACATCAACAGGGTCCCAAGCCGAAAGACACTCACCACCTAAAGCCTTTGGCTAATTTTTTGAATAACCAATTCATGCTTTTCACAATGTGTCACATTTCACCTAATCCGGTCGCTTGTCCAAGAATCCTGGATTTTAGATAAAAACTAACCATCCTGACTGCTTCTGATTTATTTGCATCACAGAGGTAAAATTAGAGACAAACTCTTAATTGAAAAAGAGGTGGTGAACTGAAATTGAAATCAATGAAATGCCCACACACCAAAAAAGACAAGTAATGGAACCGTTAATCCAAACAAACTCATTCTATACCCAGTTGTGGCCTAATGGCTACAGGTCGCGGGCTCAATTTTTAAAGGGATAGTTAACCCAAAAATAAAAATTAAGTCATTAATTACTCACCACCATTGCTGTACCAATCGCGTAAGACCTTCGTTCGTCTTCGGAACACAAATGAAGATATTTTTGATTAAATCTGAGAGGTGGATCACTGCTACATAGGCTCCTAAGGGATTGAAACTTGACGGCCCAGAAATGTTTAAACAACATGCGACAACAGTGGCTCAAGTATAAGTTTATCAAGTGACGAGATACTTTTTGTGTGGAAATAAAACAAAAATAACGACTTTATTCGACTATTCCTTTTCTTCCTTCAGGGCCTGAGATGAGAGTTCAAGACATTTCCACGACGCACGCGCGAGAACTTTAGTTCAGTTCTCGTCTTATGGGGTTGGTACAGCATGGGGGTGAGTAATTAATATCTTAATTGTAATTTTTGGGTGAACTAACCCTTTAATACCAGCAGGAAATGCCTGGGATGCGCTTGAACAAGGCACCTAACCCCCAATCGCTCCCCGGGCGCCTAAGTGAGTGCCTGCCCACTGTTTCAAGTGTGTGTGCGTGTTGACTACTCACTACTCCTAATGTGTGTTCACTAACTTGGATGGTTTAAAAGCAGAGGACAAATTCCAAGTATGGGTTACCATATTTGGCCTTCACACGTCAATTGCACAAATTCTTACTCGCCAGTGTTTGTGAAGTTAGTTATTATCGAATATTATTGTCTAGTTATTGTGAGTTGGAGTCTTGATCCCATCAAAACTACATAAACGAGCCACATGTCCTGAGTAGCATTACTCATTGGTCTCAGTTTAGGGACTCCTACTAAGGCCCTGCGTTTTCGTTTAAAAACGGAGACCTTTTGCTACGTTTGCACCTCCCGTCCAGACTAAAACGGGAAAAACGAAGACCTAAAATGGAGAAGTTTAGTAACGCTGCAGCTCCGTTTTGCGTTTTGAATCTCCGGAGGGCATTTTAGTGTAGACGGGACAAAACGTAGGACTTCAGAAACGCTGACGCTTGGCTCCATGATTGGGTGTTATCAGTAATGACGTATCCTTCCCTGATTCGTCAATCACTGTTTACACCGGCACGCGCATGCCCAGTGTTGGTGAATGGTCACGTGATCCGCGTTTTCAGTCGTTTTAATGTGGACGGAGATCATTTCTAATACGCAGATAAAACGCTGGTGTGGACGGAGATCGTATTCGTTTTAATTCTCCGTTTTTAAACGAAAACGCGGTAGTGTGGACGGGGCCTAAAAGATGATTCTCAGCCAAATTCAGCAAGGTATGATTACAGAAAATAAGCAACATTTGGTCAAAGTGTAAATACCCAACGCATTCTCATCCTAGCGCGTCATATACTGACGCTTTTGATAATGTGCATACATCCAACGCACATGGCACCCTTTAGCGTCAATATAACACGCTTCGGTTATGGGTAGGTTTAGGTCTGGGGTAGGGTTAGGGTTAGGCCCATATATATATATCTGCGTCTCATATTGACGCTAAAGGGTGCCGTGTGCAATGGATGTATTCGCATTGGCAAAAGCGTCAGTATATGACGCCTTGGGATGAGAACGGGCTGAAATACCTGTACAAACTAGTGAATGCTGTGGTAAATCCAGCATCTTCTCCATTTCAGGTCTTTAAACTGGACATACTCATACTTGAAGAGGTATTGCTCTGGATCTGCGCTTCGAGGGGTCAAGTCATGGTCTTGGTCTTGACTCCAACTCTGGTTTATTGGATGTTCCTAACTGTGACGCAGGTACTTATATATTATATTCAGGAAACAGTTAGACCCAGTAAAAGATTTAATTTAAAATTGCAAAGTGACATGATCGCAACTCGGCCAGTGAACAAAAACAATGGAGGGAACCATTGACCGATTTTCCTCAACGTCAGAGCTATTTTAGGCCTATGAGGTACCATCTGATTTGCAGGGCATCCTTCTCAAGACATAATCAAAGTGTAAAATACATAAATAACTGTCTTTATTGATGCATTTAAATAAGTCTCATTCAAATAAATGGTTGAGAGAAAAGCAATCATTGCTAGGGTAAGCATACATTATACATTGATTGTTCACAATGGAATAATAGTCGAGTCAACGTGCTGTTTTTTATAGGAATCCCGATGAAAAACAATCACTTGCGATGCCGTAACGTTCCCATCGTGAGGCCCAGTTTTAGTGGATGTGGTTCAACTTTCATTTCAAACAATAGTTTTAAAAGGGTTATTTGCTTTTTAAATTGAATCCAGAGCTAAAGTAGCTAACGCTTGGTCTCGTAACCGCATACGCATACCAGTTTGAACAAAGCACATGCAAGTATTCTCCTCTCAGGACCGACTTTTGCTGTCTCTCGTCTGTCACCTCTAAATATAACGTCTCTACACACACGTATAATTTACAGAAAACTTTTGATTGAAATTAAACGAACAAAAACGGGGGGGAAAAACCAACTAAACAAAATGATGACGCACATCAAACATGCTATGGTTGGCAACGATATTTTGGCATGATGTGAATCAATGTCTTATTCTTCTTAAATAGAATTGCTTATAGAAAACAATACCTGATACTGTGTAGTCCTTTTCAAATCAGTTTTATCGTTATTTCCTCTTCGTTGGTGTGGCACTTGTATCTTAAGAAAGAACCGGCGGCTGCTCACCGTTTGATAAAACACATTTTCGCATGTTCCTTAAAAAATTATATATATCTCTCCCTTTGTATTATTCAAAACACAAATCGTCTGATAAGATAATCAGGGTGGTATTATTTTATCCAAACCCGCTCAGGTGCTGCTCGGAAGGCCCAGGTGAAGTTTTCTGCAAAAATAGATATCCATGCGTCATGCTTTTTTTTAACAAGTTCTCATATATCCATCAAACGTTCAAGCGTCCTGCCCGCGTGATCCCTCGTCATCTCGCAATGCCGAAAAAAGTGCAGGAATGAGGTTTGGTAGAGCAGCGGCATTGGAAATGTGTGTCCTCAGATGGACTTGCGTCGTCTCATGAGCCGGAGGTTTTCTGTGAAGCTGTGGAGCCCGGGTGAGACGGAGCTGATGGGGGAGGGAAGGAAGCTGTTTTTCAACGTGCTCGGCGAGATCTCCTCTATGCGGTAGGACACCGTCGAGTGGTAGTGATGGTACTGATGGGGGCTCAACTGAGAGCCGAACGAGTTCTGGTGCTGAAACGCGCCACCGCCGCCGCCTCCTCCTCCTCCACCCATTCCCAACCCGAGACCGACGGAGCTCCCGAACTCATGCGAACGGTAGCGCATGCAGGAGCAAACGGACTGGAGATCGGTGACCTCTGGCCTGAAGCGGTGCTGCTGCTGCTGCTGCTGCTCTCGTCGCCGTCGACTCCTCTGGAGCGTGTCCTCCTGGATGTGGATGATCATGCTACTGCGGTTCCCCGCCAGGGAAGCTCTCTCCTCGGCGTCCCGTCGCTCGTCCTCGCTGTTCATGGTCAGGAAACGGAGGACCACCAGGTTGAGAAAAGCCCCGATGACCGTCAACCCCACTAGGATGTACATGAAGCTGAACGCCACGTAGACGGGTTTTCTCTGCAAGGCTTTGTTCTTCTGCAGGGCCACAAAATCCCCAAACCCGATGGTGGTGAGTGTTATGAAACAATAGTAATAGGACTGAAAGAAACTCCAGTCCTCGTAGTGGGAGAAAGCTGCCGCGCCGATGCAGAGCGTTCCCATGCAGGAGAAAAAGCCCATGGTCACCATGTTCTCCATGGAGACGTCCGTGATGCGCATCCCGCAGCACTTTTTGATGCGCTTCAGCAGGTACTTGACGAAGGTGTTCATCCTCTCGCCGAGGCTTTGGAACATCACCAGCGTGAGCGGGATCCCCAGCACAGCGTAAAACATGCAGAACGCCTTCCCCGCATCCGTGCCCGGAGCCGCGTGACCATAACCTGGAGGACGGAGAGAGAAGTGATCAGATCAAAGATGACAACTAACTATACTATGTAAAAAATTGGAAAAAGAAAATTAAAAAAAAAAAAAAAAAGATGACAACTAACAACAAAACTGAGCGTGCTGAGAATACCGATGCTTAAAAAATCTGGGCTGGTAACCAAATGTTGCAGGTGTGACTGTGAACCCGCTGCCACCATTGCACCGCTTGGGTTTTTAGTTTGTCGATTTTTTTTCCCACACCGTAAAAAATAAATATTTTCAAGATTTGTTTTCACAACATTTTTTCTTTTGTCAAATCAACTTAACTTATTTATTTAGTTGAGATAACTTATTATTTTGAGTTTCTGATGATTAAATCAATCTCCTTCATTGTATTAACTCACTTTTTCCAGTTCAATCAACTTAAAATTTTAAGGCAGCCAGGATACTTACTTTTTTAAGTTAAACCAACAAAAAAATTTTACAGTGCAGGTAAAAACAGATCCCTAAAACAAGTTCAAATTTCCCTTAAAAAGTGCAAAGCAACTTCACTTAAAATATTAAAGCCCCCTGTGGTGGAAATCAAGCATTTAATGTTTGTTTATATGTCTATGCTTTAAGACAAACCATGTGCAAATTCATAATTGCAGAGTATTTTCTCCTTAAAAATGCAGTGAAAAAAAAATCGCTGGTGTTTCTGATGTCACAAACTACCTTGTAACCAATCACATCAATCTCTGAGCTGGTGTGAGTGAGAGGAGGCGGGATTCATTTGCATAATCATGGAACCGTGTTTACTAAATGAGGCAAGGGTGTAGAAATTCATTTTGGTGATCAAAGATGAGTTAAGATAGTAAAAAAAAAACTTTTGCTGATAATTTACTCACCCCCATGTCATCCAAGATGTCCACGTCTTTTTTTCTTCAGTCGAAAAGAAATTAAGGTTTTTGATGAAAACATTCCAGGATTTTCTCCATATAATGGACTTCATTGGGAACCAAACGGTTCAAGGTCCAAATGAGAGTTTCAGTGCAGCTTCAAATGGCTTTAAACGACACCAGACGATGAATAAGGGTCTTATCACCATTCGAGTCATGACTCAAATAAAGATTTGTTCATTTTGATGAACGATTTTGAACAGGAGAGTCACGAACACGCATCACAGAACAGAGCAAGGCGACCATTTGTGCTTATAAAATTTAAACTTTTTATTTATTTTTTAAATGATCGTCTGGTGTCGTTTAAAGTCCTTTGAAGCTGCACTATAACTGCACAGGACATTGAACCATTTGGTTCCCATTGAAGTCCATTATATGGAGAAAATCCTAAAAAATTTTCACCAAAAACCTTAATTTTTTTTCGACTGAAGAAAGAAAGACATGGATATCTGAACTACTCATTTAAGAGATACAATTCAGTGGGACTTTAAGATTTAATTTTAAGAGAATAAATGATAGAGAAATAGAGATTATTTTTGCAGTAACTTGAGCTTATTGAATAGTGTAATACCATTTACACACTGGTGCTTTAATGAGTCCAAATTGATCATACACTGTAAAAAATGCCTTAAATTTTAAGTACAATCAACTCGCATAAGTCATTTCAACTTAAATTACATTAAAATGACTTAAAAAATGAGTTGAACATCTTTTGATGAGTTAAAGCAATGTAAAAACATATTGATCATATAATTATTTTTTACAGTGCAACATTATCATCTCCAATAGCAACAGTGATTTAACAATAGTAGCAACTAGCAGCAAACAATGGTTTGTTGTTCCTAAAGTGCTTCAAAAACCATTAAAGAAACTTCAATCTTGTTGTTCGAACTGATTTCCCCTGGGATAACTGTGCTGTATGCCAATTTGGGTAAAAAGCATTAGCTAAATAAAGTAGTAAAGTTGACTTAAGAAACTGCATTCCAAAAGCACCAGAAAATTTTTTTTTATCGCATATTGGCAAGCAGAAAGTAGCAATATGGTGTGATTTCATTAATGTAATTCTACTCTGCTAACTGGCCAACTTCTATCATCTTCACCAAATTCCAAGAAGCCAATCAGTCACTTTCCAAGAACTGAAAGTTTCTCCAATGTTGGCTTCGCCTGCAAATGCACTCGGGCAGAAAATGTGAGCTGACTCACGCACCATCTTAGCCAAAACACTGAGTATAGGTCACGCAAACCAGGTGTCTCTTTCATCTTATTCTGGGCTCAGAGATTACATGGGGTGTCTAATTTGTGCCAGGTTTCCTCCCTTGCCCCCTTGGCCCGCTTCTTAGGAGGGCGAGAAAGGAAGGTAGGCGTTACAGGTTTAGAAAAGAAAAGAAGAAGAAAGGATAGTTGAGCCAGTAAAGCTTTTAGCTAAATTAGACTTTATCGGGAAGTAAAAAAGACTAAATTCGCTGACTCACATCGAGCCTTTCTAATACAGTCTTTGCTGATGAGCAAGAAAATAAGTGACAAGACTACAGTAAAAATGGATTACATCCCACCTTACTATGCCAAGACAAGCTTTCATTCGCACTGAGAAGACATCATTCAAAGAGCTTTAGTTACAGTTGCATACACATTGAAGTGCTTTTTAACAGGCTTGCTTAAAGTTACTGTAAGCAATTTCACACATTTTGCTAATTTACACTAGACTGAACCCGGTTCCTTTAATCAAAAGCCCTATTATAAAGACCACGCCCACCAGAACATTGCAAAAATATTGACAGGCAGAAAGCACTTTTCAGCAGTTCAGCAAAAAAACGAACACATTTTTCCATTAATTCCCATTCAAACGTTGCAGAAATCAATATATATAAACAAACAAACAAAAACAGTTCTATTACAGTAGATTTAAAGGGACACTCCACTCATTTGCATTAAGATTTCCATTGTTAGAAACCCAGTCATACTACTGAATGGTCGTGCAACACTCTCTCATTTTCCCCTGAGATGTGAGAAATCTGCTATTTACCTTTTTCGCTTTCTCCTACAATGACGCAAAAATCATAATTTTTTACGTCATTGTAGGAGGAAGTGTAAGAGGGGGGATTTCTGTAAAGACTACAAGCACTAGTCCCCACCCTTTCACACCCTCCAATAGGGGGTTGGACCTAATGCGCTAACAGACCAATCACAGATCAGTGCCAGTGCGTCTGATTTCACCGGCAGAAACGAAGCCGAACACACAGATGGATGCATTATGGAGGATTGGGATTACACATAGTGTCAGCCAGCTAGCAGGCTCTTGTTCTGTGGAGAAAGCTGGGTAGTAACTTTAGGGGTTACCTAACAAAAATTTGTTGAACAAATCTTGTCACTTGTCATTCAACGAACAAAATGAACCAAATAACTCGAAAAAAGATTCGTTCCGAGTTCGAACAGGAGAGTCACGAACGCTCATCACAGAACAGAGCAAAGTGAGCATTTGTGCTTATAAAACTTAAACTTTATTATTTATTTTTTAAATGACTGATCGTTTCACTACATAAGACCCTTATTCATCGTCTGGTGTCGTTTAAAGCCATTTGAAGCTGCACTGAAACTCTCATTTGGAGCTTGAACCGTCTGGTTCCCACTGAAGTCCATTATATGGAGAAAATCCTGGAATGTTTTCATCAAAAACCTTAATTTCTTTTCAACTGAAGAAAGAAAGACATGGACATCTTGGATGACATGGGTGTAAGTAAATTATCAGCAAAAGTTTTTTTTTTTTTTTTTAAGTGAACTACTCATTTAAGTACCTTGTGAGTCACTGAATCACTAAACCGATTCAATGAAAAGCATAGATTCAGTCAGGAATGCCACTGTGTGTGTTGCTCAGAAAACAAACGGCTGTGATTCTAAGTACTAAAAAGTTTAGTCTAAAAGTATTAACTAAGTAATATCACACTTACAATCATGAGGGTGGAAGGATGGATGGATGGATGGTTTTAAAATATCGAAGATTCACAATATATAAAATAATGCAAATATTTGACTAAAAAAAGGAGAATTGTTCTTAATTTGTGTCACTACAGAAATAGCAGCAGATTTAATGAGAATGCATCCCATTGACATATAGCCTCTTGAAAACCTTCTGAACACCCACTGGACGGCCCACGCCACAGTGCTCAACACCCACAAACACATGCATTCATTACCGCAATACAAAACGGCCACGCGGCTCAACTCCTGCAGAGCACTTGTACAAACTTAACTGGCTTTTACTGATCTTTTGGACTTGTAAGGATTGATCTCTCAGTTTCCCTGAAGGCCGCCTGCCTACTTGAGCGTACGGCTATGGATTCTATTTATAGAAGTCGAGCCTGATCGATTCGATTTGCAAGCGGCACCAGGGAGAGCTTTCTTTTCTTTTTCACTGGGTTCTTGCTCTTTTGACCTCATGTGCATACACACAGGCACTTATTGGAAATATGGTGTGTACATTTCATATTATCACTAAGCTGTGGTGAAATATTGGAGAAAAAATGTTGCTGGGCTCAATATAGGTTGAAAGGTGAAAGGGCACTTGGATAGAATTGGCAGCGTATATGACTGATATATGAAGACAAAAATAAATTCAATACAGCTGCATTTTAATGATGGAACATATTGTGTGGAGCTGTCGATAATTTCATTTTGAAGAGCATACTTTTCCAAAACTCAGTCAAATGTAAATGTTGAAGAAGGCTTTTTGCTTTACACATCCCTTTTCCATAAAACAAACAGGCAAAAAAAAAAAAAAAAAAAATTAACACTTTTATTCTGCACGGATGCATTGAATTGTTCAAAAGATTTCTATTTAAAATGAATGAAGCCTGAATTATATATCAGCCTAATAACATAGCCTAATAATAATCATCATCAAATGATTTCTGAAGGATCATGTGACACTGAAGACTGGAGTAATGGTGAAAATTCAGCTGTGATCACAGGAATGAATTACATTTTTAAACATATTACAATAGAACACATTTTAAATTGTAATAATATTTCACAATATGACTGTTTTTATTGCATTTTTGATCAAATAAATCCAGTCTTAGTGA